GTACATATATCAACAATTATCGCTGTATTTATAAATTTGATTACATACAAGTTTGTGGTGGAAACATTGGCTTTTTTTAAGTATCCAGAAACCATGAGTTGTTAACCCTTAGGCTCAGTACTAAGGATATCGCAACAGTTTGGCCTTGATTCCATGATAGATACCGTTAATCTAGGAGGAATATAGCTTTTCTGCCTACCCCTGGGCTTGAACCCTGACCACATAGAGTTCGTCGTCTGGTCGCCGCGCAGTCCGGTTCAGCCAACTACTCTAGCGAGCTGGGTGAAACATTGACTAGGCTATATAGAGAAATAGTGATTAGCAAGCACGTATAGAAAGTATTCAACGAGAGCTGAATTTGAAACCTACAAGATCACAGAAAAAAGGCTAAGCCGAAAATACACGGGGAAGAGAACTAGGGAGTGCAGTTATAAATATGGGTATCACACTGCGTGAGCTGCATGCAACAGCTAATGATAAGACGACTTTCTGTGCGTTCGTCTATTGAGGGATAAGGACAAACGAAGGAAACAGAATTATTGGCACTCCTAGCAGGAGAATTTAGAAAAGTAGCAGGCTACACAGCACAGCAGAAATTGTGGGACTGAGAATAAATACAAGGAAAACTAAGATCATGACAAACAGTCCAAACCAACAACCAATGACTATAAATAACCAAACACTTGAAAATGTAGAACATTTCACATATCTTGGCAGTGTGATGTCCCTATTAGGAGGGACAGAGGAAGACATACATTCACGCCTGAACAAAGCTAGAGCTGCTTTTAGAAGGATGGGGCAAATCTGGAAATCCCACAATTACTGCAGAGGACCGAAACTCCGACTCTAAACAAAATCATCATTTTGCCAGTTCTCCTTTATAGAGCAGAATGCTGGAAAATGATTTTGAAAAAGGCGATCGTCACGGGCCAGAGGGTGGAGCCAGAACACAGAAGATCATTATACAATACAACCGCAATGATCTACGGACCATTTACCAGGCTTCCGCGGGCCAGATTTGGCCCGCGGGCCGCCCGTTGAACTGCCCTTCTCTGCCCCCCCCCCCCCCACACTTCGAAGAAGCAAAGTCCGGTTTCCAACAATATCTGATCCATGTTTTTAGAAAGATGGTATCCGGTGTGTACTAGAGAAGAGACTAGTAACTAGTAAATAACACAGGCATTACGCACCTGTGTTTGCTGGACTACCAGGTGTAGGTATTTGGTACCTTTAGACAACAGTCAGATGAATAACGATTGTGTCAGCTGCCCCTTCTTAATAAAGCATATCAGTGCAGGAGCTTGGCATATTACAAGTTAGTTTCACATTCATCATTGTCATATTTGTCACATATTATATTATATATATAAGTATTCTCAGTCCCTGTACCTACCTACCCCCACTCCGTTTTAGTTTTACTGAGAGTTTTACTTTTAATCTTAGATTGTTTGTTTGTTTGTTTTCGTATCCAGAAGCCATGAGTTGTTAACCCTTAGGCTCGGTATTATGGATATCGCAACCTTTCAGCCTTGATTCCATTGTAAATACCGTAAATCTGGGAGAAATGAGGCTTTTATACCTACCCGGACCACAAGGAGTTCGTCACCCAGTCACCGCGCAATCCGGTTTAGCCAACTACGCTAGAGAGCCGGGCTAATCTTAGAATAAATCTTGTGTCATGTTAGTTACACTGCAAATACTGATATGTTACTAAAATACTACTTACTGCTCTGTGCAATCTTTTAGATGTCATGGCGTGAACAGTCTACTATAAATACTATGGTTAAACTCAGCATGCAGTAAACACAACTCATGATGATCAATGTAAACAAAACCGAAACAATGCAAGTTAGTAGAACACCTGCCCCACTACACATACAGCTTAATGGTTCTGCTCTGAATCAAGTTAGGGAGTTTAAATATCTAGGAAGTATGATCACAGAAGATGGTAGAATTGACAGAGAAATAGAAACCAGATGTCAGAAAGCAAGTGCACTTATATAACAATTGTCACCATTATTAGGACATCCAAGCATAACTATAAGTGCAAAGAGACAGATTATTAATAGCATATTAATTCCAACCTTAAGCTACCAGTGCCAAACATGGACACTATCTAAAGCCCATATACGCAAAATCACCACCTGCGAGATAAGGTGCCTGAGAAAAGCAGCCAACCTAACCATACGAGATCGAGTGAATAATGAAACTATCAGGCAAATTGTTGGAACGTCACCTTGTACTAGATTCATTGAGAAACAGCAGATCAAGTGGTTTGGCCATCTCGTTAGAATGCAGCAAGATCAAATACCATCACAAGCACTACATCTCAGAAGATCAACTACAAGAGCAAGAGGACAGCTGTGTAAAACATGGATCGACAATATTAAAGACACTCTATGCCTTCATGGCATGACAGTAGCCAGTGGCAGCCAACATGCACTGGATCGCAAATTATTCCTCCCACGACGCTTAACGGTAGAAGTGGTTTATGATGATGATGATAAATATTATAACTGACTCGGAATTATTTATTCACCTTAATTTTTATGACTCCCATTAATGAATGCATGACAAGCGGCGATTGGCTAATTAATAAGCTTATGACAATATAAAACATTCAGTGAGTAGTTAGATCTAGAGAATTACAAGGAACAAACTTAATTTTCAAAGGGTTACAAATCAGGCACGCAGGCCCGTCTTACATTCGACCCATCCAATCACCCATCCAATCACCCATCTTTTGCACACCAGTTGTATTTTACTTATAAACCATGTTATGATGATTTGCGTATTATGAAAATCGTAAAAGAATACAAAAGCATGGATTGTAAAATGTATGCTAAACTCCCACATGCATACACACACCCACACTCACCCACTCACTTTCACACACATATATGCATGCATGCATACATACACACATACATAATACAGGAAGGATTAAACAGTACATCGCAAACACATAAGTTAGGAGCTGTTAACATGTCTTAACAATAATTATATCCCTAAAGATAGATTTCACATTGTTATTATTATAAGTGTTTTAAAGGTACAATAAACATATTTTAGACTTTGCAGTCTATATTCCTAGTCTTGTACAATTATTACATAACCTATGCAATATTGAATAACAAAAAATAAATGACAAGCATAAATATATGTTCTTTTTCTTAACTCTTTGAGTCCCAGGGGGTTTAGCATCAGAGCTCCAAGGGGAAGTCTAGAGAGACATAAAATTGGCGCAGCTTGCGTTCGTTGGGCTTCTAAGTAGCAACCTATGAGCGTTTCCTGGGACTCACGGAGTTAAAGTCCATGCCGTGTGGCATTGGTTGTCCTGTCTATCCACAATCTTATGTCTCGTGTACTTTCAATCAACACTGACACAGATGATCTTCCATGCCATGATGTCAAACTGTCCAGCATCTGTTCTCTCAGTCTCCCTCTGCCTCTCCTTCCCCCTTCCCTACTGTCATGCTGTACTCCAGTTTTCTCCTTCTCATTACATGAGCAAAGAATGTAGATCATCTCTTTCTGATGTAGGCAATCAGTTCTCTTCGTTAGTCAGTTGTATTACTGAATAGAAAAAAAGAAGAAAAAAACTAGGTGTATCCCAGTTATAACCTGGATGGGTTGCTTAAATTAGTATTACCATCTCACCTTTGTAACTTATAATACTTTATTATAACTGAATCTCTTATAAATTAAACTATACTATGAACTGTTTGTTTGCGCTTTTTTAAAAGTCTGCCCATATACAGACTTGTGTGTCTTTAACTCCTTCCTTCCTAAAACAGTTGTTGCTTAAAGTGATAACTGTTTGAGTCTGAAGAATGAGTTCTTCTTTTTCTTGTGTTCTTCCAAAGTTGTAATTGCGTTGTGCCCCTTTACAGGAAGGCTGCAATATTTGCACCTTTCGGCCAAAACATCCGACTTCTGCGGGCATTTGTTGACCGGGTTAGCCTTCCCTGTTAGTTTCCTGGGACATTGCAGTCTCATTCTGGCATGGTAACCTTTGTTTCCCAGGTCACAGGTGGTACCCTACATCAGGCTGGTCCAGAAAAGCCACGTAATGCTTATCAGCCCTCAAGAGAAGGTAGGGGTAGAACATGAGCATTTCCCGCCATCAGAGGAGGCTTCCATAAATGCAGAGCCAATAGAATGGGTTCAGAAGGCAACACTGGGATAAAAGGAACTGAAAACAACCAGGATAGAATGGATTCATGTCATCCCCATATGGATTCCAGGAAAACAAGAATAGACCCACTGCCTGCCCAAAAACATGTCGTAAGAGTTGGAAGCTTCCTTTGAAGTTTGAGTACATCTGCCTGAGAGGCAGGAACTGAAAGTCTGCATGCAGATGAGTCAGACCTGTGAAACAGATGTGCATGCAACACTCAGTTTCTGGAACAGGGCTAGATTTCAGAAGTGGACAAACAACCAGAACTTTCTACGAGAGTTTACAGCCGGGGAATGAAAAGGAGAAGAAGATTCATGGGGCAGAGGAAGCTCAGAGAAGTAAGTATGTAATGCCAATGACACAAGAGACCCAACAGAGAGGTCTCCGACAATACTAAAGTACGGTTCTCCAATATAATTGTTGAACAGGGATCTGGGGTTTGCCTATGATGGATTCACACTAGAAAAGTGGCTGCATGTCACTGTGGTCACTCTTTCAGGATGCAGTCCTGGGGGAATAAAATTAATTCTTTCAGTGCCAAAACTCTCACCGTGTTTTTATTGGATCTTGTGTTTTTACGTTGTTGTTTTTTTTTGTCACTTTGTCAATTTGTTCAGCTTTATGTCAGCTACTATGTCACTTTATTTTCAACTTTTTGTCAATGACTTTGACAATAAATTTTGTTGTAAAATTTTGAGACTATAATTTGTGTTTTGCTACATTAATGGAAACATTTCATCAGTGACTTTGAACTTTCAGTCAACATGTTTAAAATATTGTCAATTATGTCATCAGCTACAAGAAAGCTTGAGCTCTCAAAATGTCAGGAACAGTCACTGCTAGCAGCTTTGGCTCTGAAGAACAGATTACAGAGGACCTTTTCACCCCAGAGTACAAACGTTTGAAAGCACGAAATCCGGCACCAGATTTATCCACAGTTGTAGATCTTGATCATTATACAAGTACTGGAGAAACGGTATTGTCAAGTTATATATATTTTTCACCTTTGTTGTGTTAGTCTTTCTTTCTTTCTCTCCATCTTTCTCTCTCTCTCCCTCTCTAGCTCTCTGTCTTTGTCTATTTATCTGTCCATTTGTCTCTCTCTCCCCCCCATCCCTCTGTCTGTCTCTCACATTATCCAGAAATGCTCCCAGTCTCTCTCTATGTCTGTCTGTCTGTTGTCTCTCTCTTTCCCCGTGCCTCCGTTCCTTCCTCCCTCTCTCTCATCATGTTAGCAAAATGTTGCTATGAATGTACCGTTTATAATCTTTTTCTTGGTGGTCATACTTATGTTTGGATGTCTCAATAAAGGCGTTATTTGGTATATAAGAACACTGGCATCTTGTTTGTATTTCCTGATCCATTCTTTTGCGCTCCCAGAATATACTTCCTTGATATTTTAATTCTTTAACTTGCTTCTGAAAAGTATCATTAAAACTTTTTATATATTTTATGTTTTCCCCCAATGTTTAGGTAATCAGCCGGAATCCAATCAGATGTTGTGACCTGAAACCTGTAGCAGGTCTAAGACCATGTCAGGAGTGGAAAGTTTTCCAATTCCGAAACTATCCAGGTAAGACAGTAACTAAATATAGTAGAACATCAGTCCTGTTCGAGTTGCAATAAATTCAAAAGACATAATATGCTTGCAGTAATTCAATAAAAGCACATGTCATTCTTATGCATTGGGCACGTTTTGTAGTTTCACTTTATCTTCTTCTTTCTTTTTTTTTTTTTGGGTGTGTGGCTCTTCCTTATCCTCTTCTTCTTCTTCTTCTTTGTTTGTCTTTTAAAGGAGCAGTCGGTATATTGTGTTATAGTTTACATCTAGGACTGCGGTATGAATGCCTTTTGACCCAACACATCTGATTTCTTAAATCATTATTTAGTTATTTTTGATGACAGTCTTGTTAAGGGGTGGTAGGGCAGTAAGGATCCATACCTTTCAACTTCTGCTGGGAGAGACTGATGAGAGAATATGAGCTTGTCTGTAGTGGGCTGTGGGATAAGCATTTAGAAAGGCTGAATGTAAGATAGACTTGTGTACCCAATTTGTGACCCTTTAAAAATAAAGTTAGTCATTCCTTCTTGTTTTCCCTGGTAATAAGATCAGAGAGGACTGGCTGTTAATAATGCTGGCCTTTCATGCCGGGAACTCAGGCTCAATCCCTCCGTTTAAAAAAAAAATTGGCTATCCTCTGAACTTCGGGCACTAAAGATGGCAGCCGCAAAATATCCTTTCGAGCCACAATCACATGACTTAATTTGCGGTTCTCCAGCGGTTTTCTGGTGACTACCGCCACCGCCATGAGTTCCCCACGACGCTTATGCGACGTGGATTGGGGCTAAACTAGATGGCTAGGACTCACGAGCAAAGCTTCAGGAGATGCGGAAGCTGCTGCTCGTGGGTCCTAGCCATCTAGTTTAGCCCCAGTCCACACAGCATGAGCGTCGTGGGGGGCTTGTGGTGGTAGTCGCCGGAGAACCGCAAATTAAGTCACCGGAAGTGCGCAATTGACACGTGACTGTGGCTCGAAAGGATATTTTGCGGCCGCCATCTTTAGTGCCCGAAGTTCGGAGGATAGCCAAAAAATTTATCATCTATCAGGGTAAAGAAATAAAATCCTAACCTATAGTTTGTGGTGCACGACCCTCCCCCCCCCCCTCCCCTCCCCCTTTTTTTTTCATGTTTCCTTTCCTATACCTACTTGAACATTGCTAATTACAGATAGTAAAGACAGGTGAACAGTGAGATCAGAGTCTTAGAATTCAAATGAAGATACATGATAGGATCCCTGTGCACAATAATAATTTTACAGTTAAAAAATTAGAAGTTTTAGAGAGTTGTACAATGCTGGTGCTCTGTTTTGTTATTCAAGAATGGCTTCACAGCACTGCAGGCATGCTTCCTTGTGCCGTGTCTCCCTTAAAAGATGCCAGAATATGTAGATCAGCATCATAATTGTCATGTACCCTGCCAGATAATTGTAGGTGTTGATATCCAAACACAGATCTTGTTCTTTAGTTCTCTAAACCATTTCTATAGATGAAAGTCACTATAAGAATGTATGAAGTTGACAGACATCATTTCCCCTTAATGACAAATAACGCATAATTTCATATGACTGCTGTTTAATAAATTGGTGATGTCTGCACTTACACAGCACAGATTGGAGTATGGTTGCTTGATAGTACTCCTTTGACCTTGGTAATACCTATGTATCTGTCCTGCCTGTGTATCCCTGTTTCTTGTGTACCTGTGTGAAGAATCATACCCCAGACTTCTTCTTCTTCTTCTTTCGTTCACTTGAAATAGATTATCTATTCTATGTCTGCAGTGTGGAGGTCAAAAGAAATTTAAAGAAATACTAAACTAAAAATTTTTAATTCTAATGTCAAATCAGTACTGTTGTATGGGGTGGAAACATGGAGAACAACCAAGGCAATTACTAATAAATTACAGACATTCATTAACTGGTGCCTGCGCAGAATAGAGGGAATAAAATGGTATGATAGAATAACTAATGTAGAACTTTGGGAGAGAACTAAACAGGCTCCAGTGGACCAAGAGGTGAGGAAAAGACTCTGGCGTTGGATAGGACACACACTGAGAAAACAGGAGAACAGCATTACTAGAATGTCTTTGCATTGGAACCCACAGGAGCATAGAAATAAAGGAAGGCCAAAAAACACATGGAGAATGAGGTTAGAAAGATGGGGAGGACATGGGGAGAGCTCCATGTAATGGCAAAGGATAGAACGACTTGGCATGAGTTGGTTGAGGGCCTATGCTCCATTGGGGGTTAGAAAGGCAGAAGAAGAATGTCTGCAGTGTTGGCTCTAGTATGAACTTCAATGTCTTTTGTAATTGACTCAGCGACCGGTAAAGTTTGACTTGCAACGATGTTTCTCTTGGCCAAAAGTTTTGCCTTGATATGTTGTATTTGGGACAGTCTTGGAGGACATGATCTGTTGTCTCAGGTTCCAATCCACATGTGCACATGGTTGATTCGCTGATTTTTAATTTTGTGTACATGTGGCTGTGAAGTTGATTGTGTCATGTTCTAAGGTGTAGAATAATGACTTGCTCTGGTCTGTCCATAAAATGGTAATCGTCTTGTGATGGTTTTGGTGGCTTTCTGATTGATTTGATTATTCTCTTCCTTTTTTTTTTATAAGAGACTGGTACGTCAGGTTGTTCTTCATTTGCACCTTCCTTTGCTAGTTTATCAGCTCTTTCATTTCTGGAAACTCCACAGTGGGGTGGTATCCATTGCATAGTTACCTTAAACCGACCGCCTAGTTTGGAGAGTAGTGTTCGTATATCAAGTAGTTTTCCAGCGTGGAGTGCCTGAAGCACCGCTTTTGCATCTGTCAGAAATCCTATAGCCCTATACCCCAAATTGATATGAGTGTACTCTGAAGGGGACTAGACTGTCGTCGATAAAACATTGCATGTACAAGTTAGAATTGAGTGGGACAGCTTAAGACCCTGAACAATATTTCTTTATAATTACTTCAGACTATCATTGTGTTTCAGGTCTCATCGTAATTAAGAATCCCTTTATTGATGGCTATCAGAGATATTGGGTCCACCGATGCCTGGAGAGTTTCCCGTCAGACAAAGATAATGTGACCAACCTGACAGCTCTTGGTGACAACAGTAGCCAGGATTTATGGCAGCAGTTTGTCCACAAGAAATGGTACGCCCACTCTTATTTGGCAGTTTTCTTTCCACGTGGTCAGTCCACTGTTATTTACTGTAGTTTGTATAGCTCAAACTGTTAGTGATGACAGATTTAGTGTTGCATCAATTATTCTAAAAAATTATGGTGAAGATGCAGTGTCTCTGCACTAGAGACACACCCATAAGTACTCAGTGTCTCCCAGCAAAGGTTGAAGGGTATGGATCCTTATTGTTTCTGTTCCCTTTGTGTGTTCCGGGTGCCTTATTTGGGGGAATTGGGGGAGGGAGGCCCACTGCCACCCTAACATGCATGTCCTAAGAGGCTACTAATTAGCATTGTTTGTTCCAACAAAAAAATGTAAACAAAAACAGTCAAGTTTATCATCTCTCAGTGTAAACCAGACGGCGATAACAAGAAGAAAATAAAAAGGACTTTGCAGAAATTGGGTGTGTTGACTGGAAAAGTGCAGATGCTGCAACTTTCTTAAACCACAAAACACTGCCAGTCACCATTTTAAGGGTGAACATAGCAAACGGTGAATAACTGTTCCTGTCTTAAACCGGTTGGCTACATGACCAAACATCAAAATTTACTATTTCTACTGCAGGCAGTTCTTAATTTTACTACTTATATCCTATAAAAACCTCCACACACACACACACGCATGCCCGCCCACCCACCCACCCACGCACGTTCACACACACACAAATATTTAATGTTTAGGTTTCAGAAAATGTATCTACCTGACAGGCCAGGAACCAGCAGTCTGCATACAAGTAAGCCAGATCTGTAAAACAGACATGCATGCAAATCTCAAGTTCTGGAACAAGACTTAAGTCCAGAATTTGACGAACAACCAGAACTTTCCACCAGAAAAAGGCAAGAAGAAGAAGAAGAAGATGTAGGATTATCTGAACTAATTCATCAAAAAATGTTGATTTCTCTGTCCACAGTGAGACCTTTGACAAGCATGACCCGCTGAGGAAGTTGAGATGGACTACACTAGGATATCACTACAACTGGACCACCAAGGTAATGTAATGTGATTGAATCCTGCATGAGATTATCTATACAGATAGATCTGTGTCGAGAGGCAGAAAAATTGCGTAGAGTATTCTTTGTGAAAATGAATGGACAATAATGAGTACAATAAAACCTAGAATATGATACCACAACATCTAGTTTGAGAATGGTGATGGATGCAGTCACAGCAATTGTCTGCTGGCCTTAGAACCTACTGCACACAGATGTTGTGATTGTACCAGACTCTCAAAGCATGCTGAGAAAGAAATGCTGCAGACAGATTTGCAAGTATTGCTTCATAAGAACTTGGTAATTAGCATACTGTGAATTTTTTTTTCTCAATGCAGGTAGTTTGGGAAATGAACAGCCAGACAAACTAGCTGGTGCTGCAACACTGGATGATGGTACAACTCACAAATCTCACTCAGCTGCGTGATTTCATATTCATTCTCACAGGATGTCCTATGTTCTAGGGGTGTCAGTGCTTTTTCCTGGTACACAGGCGCCTGAGCTACTCACAGTAACATAATCGAGAAACGGCAGTAGTTCACAGAAAAGACATTTGGGACAAGAAAGCTGCGCCGTTTCCTCTGGGAGACAGTGTGTCAACCACATCAAATGAACGCGATCCAGATTTTGCCATGGTGTGTAACGACAAGAAAGGGAGGCATCTCATAACACCCTTAGAACCTAGGACAGCCCGTGGGAACTGCCACGAAATCTCACGCCCGAAAGAGATGGGGTGACTTCTGTGATTAATACCAGATGATGAATTGAAAATATGTACGAACAAACAAATTTAATTTTCCAAGGGGCAAGAATTGGGCACACAGGCCCATCTTACATTCTGCCCTCTGGCCTCACTCCGTTAATACATTATTACATTCACACATATAGTTTCAGCAGATAACTATAATTGGCTATCTTCTAAATAACGGTCCCAAATTATCGAGGCTGAAAATATACCCTAACAGGTCCTCAGTCACATGTAAATTGTGGACTTCCAGCGACTTAAATTGCGCACTCCGTCGCCACGGCCGAGAGTATCTCGGCAAGGGAGATACTCTCAGTGGTAGCGGAAGTCCACAATTTATATGTGACTGAGGCCCTGTTAGGGTATATTTTTCGGCCTCGATAATTTGGGACCATTATTCGAAAAATAGCCCAATAATTTTCATAATAATTGTAGACATCATCAACAACATTATACAATGTGCTCTAAGTATATCTATATTCTAAAACAATTATAATACTAAGTATAATCAATCTTGGTGTAAATCGACAATATGCTTCTATTATCTTCTAAGGTGGCATGTAGTCAGATGCAGTGTTGCCACTTTTCTTTGACAAAAAACATCCAAACGGTGTCAAAAAATATCTGAAAACATCTAAATTTGCATGAAAACATCTAGAAAAAAACATCCAAAAGGAAAGAGTTACAAATTACATAGCAATTGACATGTGTTACCCTATAGAATCATGTCCTCATATTTACTGAAGTCTGCCTTTCAAGATCCACAGGATAAACTTAGCTTGGATGATGAAGTTGAAGCTTCAGACCCAAAATGACTCTGATATGCTTAAGCTGTTCCAATTTCTTTTAATACCCAATCAGTGAGCTGATAAGTAAACAGCCTTTTCCTACTCTTATCAGGCCAAATTTTATAGGGTTCTATAGGGTAAGTCATATCAGTTGCTATGTTATTTGTGACTCTTTCCATTTTGATGTTTTTTCTAGATGTTTCCCATGCAAGTTTAGATGTTTTTAAATATTTTTTGACTCCGGTTTGGATGTTTTTTGTCAAAGAAAAGTGGCAACACTGACTGGAACTGTCTCTTCCATGGTTATTGTCTGCTGATACGTGATAAGCTTAATGTGGTCAGGACCTTTTGAGAGCAAGTGAGCAATGTAGAAGTTCTAAACAGATCATGATCATGTGGAGATAATGGTGTAGTAGGAGATGAGCAGGAGTCTGGCAGGCACTCTAAACTAAGAGGAAAGGAAAGGTGGACATATAATCAAACTGCTGCTGGTACCATTGACATTATAACTCTTTGCTCGCTGCTGAAGAGGAGGACAGAGCGTGTGAGGAAATGTCCCGAGTACTGTGATGTCAATTCTTAACAACTTAACTCAAACCTACATTGATGTTAGGCCAACTAAGATGTGTCTGTTCCTAGAAAAAGATTTGAATGCCGTTGCACCTTGTTTTGTCAGAAGGAACTCGATGGTATAATGCAGAATGAGACAAAACATGTGGTTGCAATTCTGCGAAGAAACAACACACTCTTGTAACTAAAGATTAATTTTTTTTCTTTCAAATCCCCTAATGGGGCATTTGAACCTAGTAGTTGTAACCATGTGCAGTGAATATGTTTTTACACACTTCAACTGCAGTGGAAACACATACTTGTCTGACACACTGGTTTATTTACCAAACACTTCTTCTTTCACTGAGGCCATAACATATCCTTCTCTGACAAACTGGTATATTTACCACTTTTTCTTTCACTGAGGTCACTACATATCCTTCTCTGACAAACTGGTATATTTACCACTTCTTCTTTCACTGAGATCACTACATATCCTTCTCTGACAAACTGGTATATTTACCACTTTTTCTTTCACTGAGGTCACTACATATCCTTCTCTGACACACTGGTTTATTTACCGAACACTTTTTTTTTTACTGAGATCACTACATATCTTTGTCTGACACACTGGTTATGATATATTTACAGAACTGTTCTTGTTTTATTTAGGTTATCATTGCATTTGTTATTATTACAGGAATATTCGGAGGACAACAAAGCTACTTTTCCCCTGGATGTCAGCTGTTTGTCTCAGTATTTCGCTGCCTGCCTCGGCTTTACCCATTATCGGGCAGAGGCTGCAATTGTCAACTACTACCATTTGGACTCTACACTGGCTGGACATACTGACCATTCAGAAGTGGACCATTCTGCCCCTCTGTTTTCCATCAGGTATTGTTGTGTGGACATTTGAAACCAATTTTTTTACCTGTGATTGTCAGAGGGCTAACCTAGTAACAAAATGGCAAAAAGAAGCCACACGTGTCAACCAAAAGATGTAAATATTGCATCTGTGTTGTAAACAGGTTGGTTAGTTGCGTATCCTTTACAGGACGTTGCAGAACCAGCCCCAACAGCCCCTGGCTGTTGTGTGGTTTCTCTAGGCAAATTTACGTCCAGTAGTTTGCCATTGCTTCTGGACGGTCGGCTTCTTGATACCACTGTCGAAACCAAGCGTTAGCATCGACTTGGCCACAGAGCCGATGTTGTAAACAGACACAGTGTAAATACCTGACCAATTTATGAGAAGATTATTAGCCGAGTGCTTCTTCTTCTTCTTCTTTGCATTCACCCGCTGTAAACTCAGGCTGAAAGTTCTGGTTGTTCATCCACTTCTGGACTGCAGTCCTGTTCCAGAACCTGAGTGTTGCATGTGCATCTGTTTTACAGAACTGACACATTTGTATGCAGACTGCTAGTTCCTTGCCTCTCAGGCAGATGCACTTCGACTTTGAAGAAAGCTCCCAATTAGTCGACTCTTACGACATGCTTTTGAGTAGGCAGTGGTTCTATTCTTGTTTTCCCTATAATAGAGCCCCGGAACCCGCAAGGGGAAGCCGAGTGCTGTATTTCAAGAAGAATTTTCTCACAATTGCATATCGAGGAAACAAAGAATAGTCATGCTGTCACCTACCAAGCATGTTCTTTATCTTAGCGTTTACCGGCAGCAAACTCTGTCGGACAGTTCTGGTTGTTCATCCACTTCTGGACTGTAGCTTTGTCCCAGAACTTGGGTTTTGTATGCAAGTCCACTTTCTTATCTGGCTTATTCGTATGCAGACTGTTGTTTCCTAACCTCCCAGGCAGATGCACTCCAACTTAAAAGGAAACATCCATAATTAGTCACCTCCTACGATACTACTGCGGGTCTATTCTCAGTCTCCCCACACACACACACACACACAAAAATGGGGCCCAAGAACCTGCAGAGAGATCTGTTCATGTTGTAAGACCCAGTCAAAGAGAGCTGGCGTGAGCTGCTACCTTATATCATAGACAAATGTAGCTGCATTTCAATCATGAACAAGACTATAAAGAACTTGGGCATGAGTTAGTTGAGAGTCTATGCTCCAGCTGGAGCTGTAAGGCTGTAGAAAAGTCTATAAGAGGAAGTTATATGTGTGTGTGTGTATATACGTATGGATATATATATATATATGTGTGTGTGTGTGTCCGGGGTGGGGGAGAGTGGGGGGGGGGGGGTTCCTCAAAGATGAAATAGGTGGCTGACCAACTGCTGAGGCAGATCTCGTAACTGATCTTTGGTCTTCTGTCTTTTTATCCTACAGTGAACTATGTCCCGTAGCTTTCTCCTTGTTTTCCCCATTTTAATAATCTTGTCTCTTTTGTTTTGTCTCCCTTAGTACCGTATCATAACCTTTATATTTGTATATTTGCTGCAGTAAATTTGCTAAACATAAATACTATTTCCTCCAACAGCTTTGGACAGACAGCAATATTTCTTCTCGGAGGGAGCAGCAAATCTGTGAAACCAATGTCTGTGTTTCTGCGGAGCGGGGATGTGTGTGTAATGAGTGGAGAGTGTCGTTTAGCATACCACGCTGTTCCCAAAATCTTGGCTCCAACATCTGAAGAACCTTTACTGTCTGCATTCAGTCTGAGACACATTGACAAACATGGACTGTATGATAGCATCACATCGACATCTTCAAACTGTGGACTTCATGGTGAAAGGAAGAATGTCAACTCAGAGAATAGTTTCAAGGCTGTAGCAAGTAATGCAGATAAACCAGCAGGTATTTCAGATTCCTGCAGTACTGATTGTGTTAGAAGTACACAATCACATATAGGACAATCACATATAGGACATTTAGAGAATGCCGAAATAGCACACAGGGCAACGGAAGATGAAGCAAACCCTATGAATAATAATGGTAATCAGAAGTGTAAGGAAGATGCCGGCTGCTTTAACGATTATCGTGATAATATTGAAAAAGTTAATTCTGAAATAGAGGAAGTTGTTGCTGCCCTCGACTTTCACCCATTTCACGTGTATTTGAAATCTTCAAGGATCAACTTGAACATCAGACAAGTGCTGCCCCCTGGTGTAACAAGGCTTCAGGATAAAAGCCGGTTACAAAGTTTGAATAATTCTTGTGACTTTTCTAGTGAAAGTTTGTGTGCCAGACTGATAAAAAGAAACATTCAGAGGGTGTCAGAGTGTAAGATGCCTGAATCTGGCACTGATGTTTCTGAAGGTGATAGATGTGTGAGTGATGTGGTTCAAGAAAGTGAAGAAACAGCAGATGTTTACTCGGGGATAGATGACACAAAGAAAATCAAAATGAATGATTCAGCTTCCTGACTTTTCTTGAACTAAGCTGAGTTAGCAACCAATGTCACAGCACTCAGGGCATTCCAAAAAGTGCTTCATCTCCATCTTCAGCGGCAAGTTCAGAATTCCAGTACCAGTGGTGGCAGTAGCAGTCTGATGATTCATCTTGCCTTTATTCCCGTGTGGGTTACGGGGTCCCATTGTGGGAAAAACAAGAATAGACCCACTGCCTCTCCGAGAAGCATGTCATAAGAGTCAGCTAATTGGGGGTTTTCTTCAAAGTTGGAATGCATCTGCCTGAGGGGCAAGGAACCAACAGTCTGCATTCAGATAAGTCAGAACTTTAAAATCGATGTGCACACAACACTCAAGTTCTTGAACAAGTCCAAAGTCCAGAGGTGGGTGACCAAGCAAAACTTTCCGCTAGAGTATATCATGAGTATGACCGGGTAGCAGATGTTGAGGCCAACTCGTGGCAACAAAATGTCATGGGCTGTGTTGTTTTGAGGGGAGCACATCAGGATTGAAATCAGAGTGAAGGAAGAAATTATTGCAGAAAGGATGAGAGCTGATCATTTGAGAAGAAACAGATTAAACACAAATGTTGACAACAACGGCCCTGAAATCCCACTCTATCATTGTGGAAGACTTTTCTTAATGCGAGCGGGTCTTGCTAGTCACACTCGCCATCGCCACATGCCTCCTCATAGCGCAATATAACACTATCGCCTGGAAAGACGCGCAGGTGCCAATCAATCATGAGTATATATGTTTGTGTCTTTATTTGTTTGTCATAAATGCTAATGTTTTTTAATCTGGATGTGTTCAGTGTGCTATGTATTTATGTTGTGCAGGCTTAACAAGCATGTTGTAAGAGTTGATTAATTTAAACTGTTAAAATTCTTCCTCTCCCTCTCTGTCTATCACTCCATTCACTTCTCCTTGCCATTTTTCCTGACTTTTCTGTATTTGTCCCCTGTTCTGTCTGTCTGTACTTTTCTCCCTCTTCCTCATATGCTTCTGTTCTTGTCTTCCCTACCTTTCTGGGGTTTTTTTCTCCTTTGTTCTGTCTGTATGTGTTCTCCCTCTTCCTCATATGTTTCTTTTTTAGTCCCCCCCCCCCTCCCCCTTCTGTCTGTGTCCCCTGTTCTGTCTGTTTGTACTTTTCTTACTCTTCCTCGTGTGTTTCTTTTTTTGTCCCCCCCCCCCCACCTCTCTTCTGTCTGTCCCCTGTTCTGTCTGTACTTTTCTCACTCTTCCTCGTGTGTTTCTCTTTTTGTCTTCCCTCCCTTTTCCTCTGTTCTGCCTGTTTGTACTATGTATTTTTCTCCTACTTTCCTATATGTTTTTATTCTTATCTTCCTTCCCTTTCTGTCTTTGTCCCCTGTTCTGTCTGTGCTTTTCTCCTATGTCCTGATATGTTTCTATTGTTATCCTCCCTCACTTTCGGTCTTTGTCTCCTGTTTTGTCTGTGTGTATTTTTCTCCCTCTTCCTCGTGTGTCTCCCTTCTTGCATTCCCCACCTTTATTTCTTTCTCCCTCCACATCACACATGGATTGTCTGGGATTCAGACTAGAATGGTTCTGTTTCCTCTTGTTTTAGTTTCATTATCAACAGATTTCAGGCAAAACACATGAGTGGATGCATAGACAGACCTAAAGATAGATAGATAGATAGATAGATAGATAGATAGATAGATAGATAGATAGATAGATAGATAGATAGATAGATAGATAGATAGATAGATAGATAGATAGATAGATAGATAGATAGATAGATAGATAGATAGATAGATAGATAGATAGATAGATAGATGCATAGATGCATAGATGCATAGATGCATAGATAGATAGATGCATAGATGCATAGATGCATAGATGCATAGATAGATAGATACATAGATAGATAGATAGATAGATAGATAGATAGATAGATAGATAGATAGATAGATAGATAGATAGATAGATAGATAGATAGATAGATAGATAGATAGATAGATAGATAGATAGGTGTATAAGATACTACAAATATATTATTGTATAGTAACATCACAGATAACATGAAACAAAATTACGATGAGATACAGTAACCAATAATTCCAGAAAGTTCCTTCTGATCTGTAAAGGACCGCTTCGAATGACGAAAAAGACATTAAACCAGTTCCAATGACTTTCATGGACAACACAGTGTCACAACTTCTGTAGCATCAGGGTTGGGCATTTGTGGTGAAATTAGGTAAAGTCGGTCAAACAAACAAACACGATAGATTCAAGTGGCCCTAACAGAGGGGCTCATAACACTGAGCGCCCTCCCACACAGTAACATTGCAAGGGTATGTGGTTCCCCCCAATCATGTATAGATATTACGTTTTTAAGTATTCATTTATACATTTCATTTTAATTCAAATATCGTATTTGTCAGTGCATACGACGCACCTTTTTTCTTAAAGTTAGGCTGCGTCTTATACAACCAAGGTAGGTTTGAACAACGGATCAACATCATGGCACACGGGTAACCCATAAGTGCTCCGTTCTTCTTATAACTCAAGTCTGAGTCCGAAAAAGCTCAGCACAGGCTCTGTAACACCGGCGAGAATCCTGAAATATTTTGAGTAGATTTTTAACTCCAAATTTTGCCCGGCACCGCCGTAAGACTACTCTTTTTGATTTCCAACTGCCAAGGGATTTTTTTGACGTGCGCAACAATGCACACGGGCGTCCGATCTCACTACCCAGAGACCAAGGGGAATTACTAGAAATCCAATTCCACATGAAAAAATCCCAGCTCTTACCGGGGATTGAATCCGTAACCTCTAGCACTCAAGGTGGACACAATGCCTCGAGACCACGCAGCCTATTTGGTAGGCCTACATGTTCCGTTATTTTTTCATAGTTGCCGTTACAGTGGCAGATTGGACTGGAGTGTGTTAATGGTACTGTGCCGAAAGCTTATAAGTTTGTCTACGCGGTTTACAATTCCGATATGAAAACAGATAATAAGGCGACATTTCTACGCCAGGGAATTGAAACTCGGGGTGATAAACAATGTGCTGATGAACACGGCAAAAGGTCAACAGAGCGTCATTTCAGATCTTCATGGAAGGAAATGGGGAGGGGGGTGGTTTTGCGGTCTCAGTGGGATGTTTTATGCAAAACACATACAAAGGAAAGCTTACTTCAAAATTTGTGTATGGTCCTTTTCACGTTTCATGGCCCATCTACACGCTCTATCCGTCTGGTGTAGGTCAGAGGGGTGTCACGTTGTTCTGTTTTCTTCAAAAGAGTCTCTCGTGTGACCTAGTCTCGGGCTGTGGGGGGGGGGGGGGTGGTTGGGATAGGGCCAAATTTAGATGTTCTGGGGTCGTTAAAAGCTGTGTAGTATAGAACACGCGACATCGGCGTAGATGTAATTAGAAGCAAGACAACATGACACACCTCTGAGGTAGAACAGTCTGAGAAAGCATGAATGAAAGGTCATTCAGTGTATAGATGGGCCGGGAAACGTGAACAGGACCGAGTTTATTTATGGAAAATGACTTTCAGTTTTTTAGGGTGCATCTTATTCAATGGACCTAATTATGCATTGACAAATACGGTATCTCTGAGTGTTTAAGTGAGGACTGATGCCCACACTTTTCCTTTTAGTTTCCGTGGGTTGGCGCCACTGCATATGTTAATTTATTAAAGTGACTCGTGTGTTCTAATTTCCCCACTAACGATGTCGAAATGAAAGCTTCCGCGTGTGCACCAGCATATACGCCGTACTCAAAAACAGCTTGAAACTTCCTAACCAAATGGAAATGTGTCAGCACATGAATCCAGATGAAACAGGACTCTGTTCTGTCTGTCACTCGATCCTTTCAAGGTGTTAGTAGGCAAGGCAGTGTACCATCTGTCGCCCCATCCGGGCAACACGTGAAGCAATGGGTTACACAGGGCCAGGGGCCTCGTCGAAAATGTGGAGGGAGGGAGTTTTGGCACCTTGATAGAACCCCTTAAAAGAATTTGTAAGCCTCCCTCCCAATCTCCAGCATGTAGAGAAGTTTTCTTCACAATTTTTATTTATACACACCATATTATTTCATTTATATATTATATTTATTTGCCATTCAGCACATTATTATTATTATTATTGACCAAACCAGGAAAGGATCTGGTTCTAAACCGCTCGGTGATTGGGATTTGCCTACCCTGCATGCAAAGACTGGACTCGGTGATTGGGATTTGCCTACCCTGCATGCAAAGACTGGACTCGGTGATTGGGATTTGCCTACCCTGCATGCAAAGACTGGACTCGGTGATTGGGATTTGCCTACCCTGCATGCAAAGACTGGACTCGGTGATTGGGATTTGCCTACCCTGCATGCAAAGACTGGACTCGGTGATTGGGATTTGCCTACCCTGCATGCAAAGACTGGACTTGGCGGATTTTGCCGATGAAACCTCTTATTGGTTCAACGCACAAGAAGGCGTTTACCAGCAGGCTCTGTGGAGAGCTTCGAGCAAGTCGGGGCACTTAAGACGCCTGGGTCATCCACTGCACCTAGGTCCATTTCCAATCGTCTCTACGTTGTCTGCCATTGGATCAAGATGGACACCGGCGAGAGAGTGAGGTCGACGAATTGCGCAACTCTTCCTCACTCAAATCCAAGTCCTTGCGCAAGTCACTTTCATCCAGCTACTCATAATCATTGATCATTACTTCTTTGGATGAAAGTGGTCTTTATCACTTGTGATAGGCGAACAACAATAACATTGTTATTGATCACTTAAATAAGGCATACCCCTTTAGCCACCACCCCTTTCCCAGAAAATTAAGAGGACTAAGACTGCCCCTCGTACGCTTTCGTAGCGTCGTCTCCCTTGGACAGGGTTGTGTACCATCTATCTCACCATCTGATCGATTTATGCTTTGAATTCCCTACAGCCGTACAGGACTTGCCCTGGGATATCACATTTCGGGCATCATGTTGACAACATATCGTATGTTTTTGATCGCTAACAGTTTCCCGCGTGGATTCCGGGGAGA